CGCTTTCTCTGAGGTGAGCTGCTTTTATCAAAGGTACTACTGGATAAAAGTACTCCACGTCAAATGCCACACTTAGATACACTACACACAGCTTTTGCTTCAGTTTTGCAGGCTGAGGCACACACACAATTTTTATGCTGAATATATTCTCTGCCTCTTTTCCTCCCATTCTCTGTCTGCCTGCCTTCCTTCCTTCCTGGCTGCATTGTGCAATCTCTAGACTTAAAAAAACCCAAACAACTCCAAACCCACCCAAAAAACTCACTCCCTCCAACATACATTAAGTTCATGTAAACAACATCTGCTATTTCACTAAACAGGTTGTTGCACATCAGTATCTCTGCTTTTCCCACCTACCCTCTTGCAAATCACCATCTCACTACCTGTAATGAGATCACAGTTCTCTAAAGTTTATATTTACATTTTCTTCCAGTTACTTTTGAAGTTCTTGAAATCAAGTGTTTAGTTTCCTTTTGTGTTGTTTTTCTAAATAAAAGTTGCCTTAGAGTAAGACATTTCTGAAGACAGAGTGTATTAAGAAACTTTGCAATGTAATGTAGCATCCTAGCTTTCTTCTTTGGCTTAAGCCAATATTCCAGTTTACTCCCATTAAAGACTTACCCATGGAAATACAGACCAATCACTAGGGCTGAATATTTTACCAATGGTTTTCTTAAATTTGGTGGGCCAAATCTCTGTGTAAGTCCTTTCATTGCCACTGAATATTCAGCTGGCCCAGCAGCATTTGATTGAAATAGCAGTTGGACTATTTGTCCTCTTTGCTCCATTTTTTTATCTGAGATTATTTCACACCAGCTGTGTGGCTGTGAAGTGCTGTGGAAGAGCAAAGGCAACATCCAGAACCAGCCCCAACAACATGCAACTATTGACATCTCTGCCCAAAGGGCCACCTGTGGCTCAAAAAGCTACCTGTGTGTCACAATAAACATCAGGCACAATGTGGTGGAGAAGACTTAGCTGGGAATTAGCCCACAGGAAATCCACCAGGATAAGCATAAGGGCCAGATAATTTGGAGCCTCTTGGAAGCAAATACAAAATACACTGTCAGGAACACACACTCAAATTTGGGTCCGGCAGAAGAAACTCCATTCGTACTGACATCCACCTCTGAGGAGCCCTGGGGTTTTTAGAAGGGCTAACTATTAAGCATTGGATGCCAAGCAAATAAACAGGAGGAAATACATATATATATATATATACATATATCAGAGCAAATTATGACTGCCTGTAGCTACTGAAAACTAGTAGGAAAGGAAATACAACTGCAACATTAATACTGTAACAACTTGCTCTCATGAAGGAAGAGAGGAGGAAGGATGTGTTATTTTACATTAGAGATGCTCATAGAATTACAGGTGGCTCAATCACAGACCTTGAATGCCTAAGGATTATACATGTAGTCCAGCTAAAGATGGAGTTACTGGAACATCTCACACAGGTCCTGAAATCCAAATACTAGAGTGAGCTGACAAACCTGCATCTGTTCTTCAAGTGTGGAAAGGAAAACAGGCTAATCACACATGCACACAGCCTGATGGATGTTTGCTGAGAACATCTTCTAACTAAAAAAAATTCCCTGGTGTCCTAAAAAGCTGATGATTTCTTAAAATAGAAAATTCTAAACCTCTACGTAGAATATCTCAATGTTGAAACTTGTTTTAATGAGTGAAGAGAGTAAGTTAATCACTTGCAGGCTACAAGCAACTTAAGTATTAATAATCATGATCTAGTCACATTGACTTTGTTTTAAAATCAGTGTATAGATTATAGCCTGGTGTTTAAAGTCTGTTTTTACAATTGCTGGCATATGGGCCTAAAAAGAGAAGAAGGAGAGGTATGAAACAAAACAGAGAATTGTTTAAAAAGACTCTACTGCACACCAAAAGGCTTTTCCAAAACTGTGAGAAAGTTATGCTTGCAAAAAAAAAACATCTCAGAGAAGATAAAGAGCAGGAACATCAGAAAGACATGCAGATTTTTAAAGAATAGAGAGAGTACAGACATTATAGGTAAGCAAATGAAGAAGCATAAGTAACCTCTGAAGAAGCAGAGACAACACAACACTGAGGAGGACTCATGGTGGCTCAGGCAGTAAAAAGGCACTTCTGAAAGCACCCGTGCAGATCATGTCCATTGTTTGGTGCAGACAGTAGGATCAAAAATTATGACATTGAAGGACACGAAGGATATTGAAAGAACAGCTTCATGTGGAATTATCAGGACACATAGTATGTTGGATTAAATTAAATTCTTTTAAAGATTTCAATACATAATTGTTAACAGAAAGACATAAGTAGAAACATCGCTAATGACCATTTCCAAATTCTAGTGCAATTTCATGAGTTTGTCATTTGAGGTTGAGGCAACATGAAACTTCTTGCACATAAAAAAACCCCGCCACAAAACAATATAGTGCCCAATAATGAAAAGAGAAGGTTATTCTCATGGAACATAGCTAAAGTCACAATAAAATCTTTTGCAATGAGCCAAATCCAAGGTAGCAGCCCCAGCAAACAACAGTTTCCAGGCTGAAAGAGGCTGACATGCTTTGAAGACTTACAGACTTAGAGCTGGAACAAAGTGCTAAGTTCATTTATGTCTTCAGTGATCATCACAGATAGCTGCTTCAAAATAGGTACTCAAAGAAAGGTACAGGAAAAAATAGTCCTAGCAAGGCTTCTGTCAAAACCCTCTGCTCAGTCCTGCCAGCCACACTTAAAGAAGGAAGTGAATATAGGAGAGGGAGCTCAAAGGAAGGCCAAAGAATTGACCCCTGAGCTGGGCAAAGCAAAACAAAGCAAATCTTACATGTGAGGCTGACAGGGTTCACCCGGCTCAGTGATAAGGTTGAGAGCTGTCATGATGACTATTTAGGGCCACATTTCAAACTTGCAGATAAGTTAAGAGCTGACAGTAGGAATTCCAACCTTCATTTCCCAGTAAAATTTCCCAGCAATGTTAAGAAATGAACTATAGAACAGTTTACCAGGACAGACGGTCAACTCATTAATGCCTGAGTTGACCATCCAAATGAGTCCAAAATGAGATTATATATGTTTGAAGAAGACACACCCAAATCAGCTTTTAGGAAAAAAGAATATCTGTGACTTAATCATGCGAAATGTCAGGTCAGAGGAGTATAATGACTCCTGACTGTTCTCTTAGTGTATAAATTGGAGTGCTTAACCATAAAAAATTAGAAGAATCAAATGCCTCCTTCAAGACATGCTGTGGCAAACAACACTTGTAAGAGCCCCTTTCAGTATTCAAACCCCTCCAGTGTGTCAGAACCACTTGCACTCACCTCTAATTCAACAGCTGTTTACATGTGTTAAATAAATGCACAAAAAGACTAGGTGTCAACCTGGCACTGAGGGCACGGTTTGAACATTTCAGCAGTCACTCTAAAGAACCCCCTGGTCGATCCCTAACAAAGCACAGTTCTAACATTAGGCTAGAAAATGCCAGCAATGTTCATGTGGAAGTGGGAGATGAAATTCACGTGCTCTGTGGGAAGCCTCCTTCTTATAATGTTATATCCTGTGCTCTTGTGTCCATCATTTCTAACCACATGTGAGCTAGAATAAGATATTCAAGAAGAGCACCTCCTTTGATGCTTGTAAATGGAACAGCAATTTTGGAATAAAAACAAAGAAAAAAAATATCAAAGCAGGCATTCCCTAGGTAAGCAGGGAAAAAAATCACTTGTCATTCTCCAATAGTAATCAATTTAAAGTACATGCTTTTTCATTTCCAGATGAACGAAAGATTCTGGTGCTCTGTCAAATTTTATTTACTTTAGCCCAGGAAGCATCTGATCTGCTTTAAAAACTGTGGATCAATTCTGTATTAAAATACCATCACTCTGCCTACTCCTTCAAAGTGCTATAAAATATGCTGAAGAGAACACTGGAATATTCCCCAGGTACCATGGCTGAAACAAAACCTGCACACAGAAACCTTTCTAGAAAAAAGCAACTATTGCCTTCCCACTCACTCCCCCCCAAGCACCAGGTAGTCTCTATGCCATGCCTTTTTTAAGTTTTCTGGTTTTAGTCAGGAACATAAACCAAAAATAAGCCACAGACTGCATGCTAAAGGTTAAGGAAATTACTGGTGGGATTGACAAAACAGAAAGTGAGATGTCCTATCTTGCAGAACAACATTTTTTGTTTAGCTTAGGTTTGCCCTTGCACATGAATGTAATACTTATGGGTTGTCACCTAAATTAAGGCCAGAGTCAGTCCTTCAGCAGACAAGCTTCTCTTCTTCCTCACCGCTGCAAAGACAAACAGCTGCACTGGAGCCTGTGTTTTTAATCAACAGTTTTCTCCTGTATTTTTCTCTAGATAGAAAATACTTGTAACCACTTCATTTCACCTGCTGTGTTTTTTAAAGCACTGTGAAGCACACTATTCATACCACAGTGTTAAAGGGTCAGATTACCCTCACCTACAATCTGTTCAATAAATTCTGCCGACACTCAAAAACCACTTAACAAAACCAAATAAGTCAATAAAAAAGAAAAGGGGAAAAAAAGTATTCAAAGTAAAATGAATTTCAAATCCAAATAATCTGAATCACTACTGACTCAGATATTGTGACAAAGCATTTCAACAAAACCCACAAAATTTTTATTCATAGGTTCTTTTCATCTCAAGAGCTTGAAACAAGGATCTCCCTATCTCTAAAGCTTACTTCCACAAATTATGTTATTATACACAAACTAAGGACAGAACCTCCAATTTTAGCAAGTTTCTGGTTTGCTTCAAAAACATATGCAACATGAGACTTCAAAGGAATACTGATGTTTGTTACCAGCAAGGAAAAAAAAAAACAACAAACCAAACTAAAACAAAAAAACCCAAACCCTCCTATAGTGTTTACTGTCAAAACATAGTTTCCCACAACCCAAATTTACATCGAGCCCATGAATACAACACACTGCGTTTTTCCTCTGAAGCACAAATATACTTACGAAAGGACATTCCCAATGTAGGCATAATATGAACAGCAGTAGGGAGTAGTCCCATCACAGCAGTAGGCTTTGCAGTCATTATCACACTGAGCCAGACAATCTTCTGCTGAATAAAAATAACACTCGTGAGGTCAAACAGCAGCAACAATAAATGCTGTACAGCACAGCTTTAAAGAAAATGGATTCTAACACTTTTATACAATCACAGGACTTCACTCGAGGTGCAACCTGACCCTGTAATCCTAATGGCAGCCCATTCCCACTCGTCCTGCACTTCCGAGTTAGGTGCTTTTTGTATGGGTATTTTGTAGCTGGCCTCATCAGTTCCTTCTTATACTTAATCCTTTAAAATAAAAAAAGAACATTTTGAAACGTTAAGACACCACGGATCAACTTTTTCCATTCCATCAAGGAGTCCTGCCTGCCTGTCTTGCTGACCTGCAGGGTGGCAAGGGAGGAGAAGGAAGGTGTCTGAGAACAGGCTACATCCCCCCCCTTCCATTCTTGCCCAGCCCCAGCCAGGCGTGCAAATTAGACTGCCTGGGGCTCCCTCACTCCCTGCCAGCTGGCAGCAGCTCCCCTGGCTCTGCTCCAGCCCCAGGGCCATGGTCAGCATGGAGCAGCAGTGCCCAGCACAGAGACCAGTGGTGCCCTCTCTGTCCCACTGCCAAAGACCGTCCTGCCCAGCTGGGGCCACGAGTGTTTCCAGCAGCGACGCTCTGCTGGACTGAGGAACAAAACAAACTGTGAAACAACTGTAAGAGAGCTCTTTGCAATTAAGAAGTATGGTTTTCCATGCTGGAATGTATCTTGTTATTGCTGTTGAGAAGCTATTTTAAAGGTATTGACCTCTTGTGCTGTCGTGACTCAGTGTTTTCAAAGCCCTAAGTCAGGTCCCCCCAAGTAAGTAACACCACACAGTCTTTGTGTATTGCCACTGCACTGTAAGAACGTCCTTGGGGATCCCACACTTCCCACATCTCATCCTGGTTCTCCTTCCCTGCTCTAAAGACCTCAGCTGCTGCCTGGATCAATTCAAACAGACTCCCTGTCCTGGACACCATCACCCTTGGTGACCTATTTGGTCACACGCTGCCATGATAGAGACCTGAAAACAAAGATGGCAAACTATGCTTCTGCATTCCCAGTGTGCTGTGGCTCCTGTTCCCCAGGCAGCAGCTCGTGCTGCAGGGTTCTCACTCTTCCACTGCTGTTACTGCCTTTCATCTGTGCTGGCCCAACTTTTAGTGTGCTGGCATCCAGGCAACCCCCCCTCATCCCTGCTCCTGCTGTGCTCCTATTCCTGCCCCACCTCTGGGTGTGAGTTCCCACCTCACACCGAGGCTCCTTTGCTCACTGACTGTGCAGGGAATGGCTCATGCTGCTGGTCCATCTCACAGCCTGAAGCTTGCTCATTAGATTTTAGCAGGTCAGCTCTCCAAACCTGCTCATGCCTGAAAACAAGTACCAAGTGAGGGTGAGGGATGGTGAGGGCTGGAGAGGGCTGTGCAACACAGCATGTGGGTCAGCCTATGCAGCTCTGCCCTAAACCTGTGCGATTACCCTGGTATTAAAGCAATGCATAAAAAAATGGAACAGACCAATCATTCTGCCAACAACCCCCAGAAGTGAATCGCGGCAGCCAGCGCAACACTCCTTTCTGGGAGAGCCCTGCTATGAGGGAGCAGCAAGCAGGGCGACTGCCACAAGGCTTTGGCACAGCTGCCCTCATGGGATGCCCCATGCCAGTCGCTCCAGGCTTTTGTTCTGCTACCCTTTCTTTGGGACAAGCACTCGTGTCTCCAGCTGTGCCTGGGCACCACCTCCTGACTCCAGCCCTGGTGGTACCGAGGTGCCTTCACCCTGTCCGGGCATCTCACAGGTCTCTCCTGCAGGGCGTGAGTTCACAGAATCACAGAATGGGGCAGCTTGGAAGGGACCTCATTTGGACCCATCTGGTCCAACCTCCCTGCTCAAGCACATGGCACAGGATTGAATCCAGATGGTTCTGGAATATCTCCAGTGAGGGAGACGCCACAGCCTCTCTAGGTAATCTGTTCCAGTGCTTGGTCACTGCACAGTAAAGAAGTTCTTCGTCATGTTCAGGTGGAACCTCCTCGGCATCAGTTTCTGCCCGCTGCCCCTGGTCCTATTGCTCGGCACCACCGAGTAGAACCTGCGCTCCATTCTCTTGGCACACTCCCTTTACGTATTTATACGCAATTAATGAGGTCCCCTCTCCGTCGTCTCTTCTCGAGGTTTATCCTCCCTGCAGCCCCAGCGGGACTCACGCACAGCACACCATGCCCGGGGAGTGCTCTGCTGGGACACCCCGGGGAGCCCCTTCCAACTCCGGCTGCCAATTCCATCGCCGACGAGGAAAAGCCCCCGTGCCTGCCCTAAACCTCCGGCCCCCGCCGCCCTCCCGGCCACGCTCGCACCCGCTGCCCGCGCCCCCCGGCCCCGCTGACCTGCCAGGAGGAGGAGGAGGACGAGGAGGAGGAGGAGGCCAGGGGGCAGCAGCACCCCCC